AGAGAAGAGAAGAGAAGAGAAGAGAAGAGAAGAGAAGAGAAGAGAAGAGAAGAGAAGAGAATGAGTTGGAAGGGACCTTGGAGGTCTTCTAGTCCAATCCCCTGCTCAGGCAGGAAACCTTATATAGTATACCATTTCAGACAAGTGGTGGTATCTTCTTCTTCATCGTCATCATCATCATCACCACCACCGGAAGGGAGCTTGGAGATCTTCTAGTCCAACCCACCGCTCAGCCAGGAAACCCTATATACCATTTCAGACATATGATTGTATCGTCATCTTCATCATCACCAGAAGGGAGCTTAGAGGTCTTCTAGTCCAACCCCCTGCTCGGGCAGGAGACCCTATACCATTCCAGGCATGTGTCTATCCAGTCTCTTCTTAAAAACCTCCAGTGACCCACAACTTCCGCAGGCAAAACCGTCCCACTGGTTAATTATTCTCATGGTTAGGAAATTTCTCCTTAGTTCTAGGTTGCTTCGGTTGGTGTGCTTTGCTTGGGGATTTTCGGAGGGAGCGCGAGGCGTCCACCCGGCCGCTTACTCAACAAACCTGGTTAAAACGAAGCGTGGCTTATCTACGGTGGGCAAGCTGGAGTGAGAAAGCGACGTCGAGCCACAAATTGAGCTGTGGTCCCCAAATCTACCCGGCCTGCCTTTATTTATTTTATTTTATTTTCTTTATTTTATTCAATTTGTATCCCGCCCTTCTCCTAGCGGACTCACGGCGGTGCACAGCCAGAACTAAAACACCTACCAATACAAAATTTTAAATTTTAAAAGAATTATATAATTATTATTATATTATAATAATATTCAAAATAAATACCGGAATAAGAAATTGCAGATAGGTTATGAATGATTATATAGATATTTGTGTGTCTTTAAGTAATAAAGCTAGGTGGGTAATTAGGGAATTGAAGGAACAAGAGATGTGGAATGTCATAATTGTTTAGACTAGGATTGATTGTGATTGTTGAAGTTTATACCCTGTAATTTGTTCTGGGAAGGGGAGGGGGGGAGGGGGGAGGTTGAGGTAGGGAAGGGGGGGGGGAATATGTAAACTTTTTGTAAAACTTCTCAATAAAAAAAAAAAAGAAACTAAAACCCATTTGACAATTTAAAAGGCTAAAAAAGGCTTTAAAAAAAAGGCAGTTTAGCAGGGCAGTTCAAGTGAAGCAAGGCATTTGCGCTTACAGAATACAATTCTGTACATGAGCCGGGTGGCGCAGCAGACTAATAGCCTGTTACTATCATTCAGCTGCCCGCAATTACTGCTAGTTCGAATCTCCCCAGGCTCAAGGTTGACTCAGCCTTCCATCCTTTCTAAGGTAGGTAAATTGAGGACCCAGTTGTGTGGGGGCAATAAGCTGACTTTGTATAAATATACAAAAGGATGAAGGCTATTGCTTAGCGCATTGTAAGCCGCCCTGAGTCTCCGGAGAAGGGCGGCATATAAATCAAATTAAAAACAAAACAATATCTTAGTTTAGATGCCGGCCAGCACGAAGTAGGTTAGCGGAGTTGAACCAAGGCAGCCCACCGTCTTCTTTCTCCCTGCATTCTGCGTATCCTCCCTGCATATCCTCCTTCCATCTCTCTTCCTCTGTTTCTCTTTTGCAAAGGGACCAACCAACCAGAAACCAAGAAGGATGAGCATCGGCCCCGCCCCACAACCTGAAGAAGACCCAAATCTCAGCCCGGATCATTTGGGTGGAAGGGGGTTCATTGGCATTCTGTAAAACCTTAGTAAGACCACACTTAGAATACTGCATCCGGTTTTGGACACCACGCTATTAAAAAAAAGATGTTGAGACTCTAGAAAAAGTGCAGAGAAGAGCAACCAGGATGATGAGGAGATTGGAGGCTAAAACATACGAAGAACGGTTGCAGGAACTGGGCATGGCTAGTCTAGTGAAGAGAAGGACCAGGGGAGACATGATAGCAGGGTACCAATATGCACCAAGACAAATTCCTTGTGTGTCCAATCACACTTGGCCAATAAATATTCTATTCTATTCTATTCTATTCTATTCTATTCTATTCTATTCTACTCTACTCTACTCTACTCTACTCTACTCTACTCTACTCTACTCTACTTCTATTCTATTCTATTCTACTCTACTCTACTCTACTCTACTCTACTTCTATTCTATTCTATTCTATTCTACTCTACTCTACTCTACTCTACTTCTATTCTAATCTATTCTATTCTACTCTACTCTACTCTACTCTACTCTACTCTACTCCTATTCTATTCTATTCTATTCTATTCTACTCTACTTCTATTCTATTCTATTCTACTCTACTCTACTCTACTCTACTCTACTCTACTCTTCTCTACTCTACTCTACTCTACTTTACTCTACTCTACTCTATTCCATTCCATTCCATTCCATTCCATTCTCTATTCTATTCTATTCTATTCTATTCTATTCTATTCTATTCTATTCTATTCCATTCCATTCCATTCCATTCCATTCTCTATTCTATTCTATTCTATTCCATTCCATTCCATTCCATTCCATTCCATTCCATTCCATTCCATTCTCTATTCTATTCTATTCTATTCTATTCTATTCTATTCTATTCTATTCTATTCTATTCTATTCTATTCTATTCTATTCTATTCTATTTTCTATTCTATATCTGAGGGGCTGCCACAGAGAGGAGGGGGTCAAGGCACCTGAAGGCCAGACAAGGAATAATGGATGGAAACTGACTAAGGAGAGATTCAACCTAGAAACAAGGAGAAATTTTCTGACAGTGACAACAATCAACCCACGGAACAGAAGTTGCCTTCGGAAGTTGTGGGAGCTTCATCACTGGAGGCTTTCAAGAAGAGCTTGGACTGCCATCTGTCAGAAATGGTGTAGGGTCTCCTGCTTGGCCGAGGATGGGGGGGTCGGACTAGATGACCTACAAGGTCCCTTACAACTCTGTTCATCTGTTAAATCTGAGATCCAGCATATTTTTCTCTATAGGATCGAGGGCTGGTCAGTTCCCTTTCGTTCGCAGGCTTTAAAAATGAGAATAATGAGACAGCCAGCTGCAAGACGCATCTCAGCTCTAAAACAGCTGACTTTGGGCCAGCTGTTGTCTCTTCTGCCAGCTTCCTCGCAGGGTTGTTGTTGGGAAGAAAAATCGGAGGAAAGCACCCTAGACAAGCTACCTTGGAGGTCTTCTAGTCAGAAGTCAGACCTGCTCAGGAAGGAAAGCCTATATCATTTCAGACAAATGGTTTATTTATTTATTTATTTTATTTATTTATCAAATTTCTATACCGCCCTACTCCCGGGGCGGTGAACAACCAAGATAAAATAAAGATAATACAAACATTAAAAGTCCATTAAAGGTATTAAATATTTTGGCCGAAAACAAATTTAAAATGGTTGTACAATCTCTTCTTAGAAAGCTCCAGTGATAGAGCACCAAGGGTGAAATGCTCCCGGTTCGGACCAGATCGCCCGATCCGGTAGCGATAGAGGCGGGTGGTTCAGAGAACCGCTAGCAAAAATCCCACACACACACCCCCCACATACCCAGCCGAGCCGCACAATTATCAGAGGCTTTTTTTTCTTTTAAATGCCTCTGACGATCCAAGCTGAGTTGCCTGATCATCAGAGGCATTTAAAAGAAAAAAACCCTCTGCCGATTAGAAAACTCAGCTGGGATCGTCAGAGCCTTTTGAAAGCATTTTTTTACAACCTCTTCGCCGAAGAGGTTGTAGAAAAAATGGTTTTAAAAGTTAAAAAAAGAAATGGCCACGCCCACCCAGTTACATTACCCGCACCCCCACCAAGCCACGCCCACAGAACCGGTAGTAACAA